ACAGTTCGCCGGTACCGCCAATTTCCTCCTCGTCCACCCAGCAATCCACACAAAATTGTCGGAGGTCTCCTTTGCCATATTCGTTGTTTCCTCTGCAGGTAATTGACATGTTCGTGAGCTCGCGACCGTTCTTTATCGTATTAAGCGCGTCATGCTCGGTTTCGTGTGTCAAGGTTCAGAGGAGATGGTCAGAAACGGCGGCGGCAGAAATGTCAGGCGAGTCCGTCGAGAGCACGATGAGACGTTGGTCGATGCCCTGGGATTGCAAACATGTTATAGAGTGGCCACGCCAGGATGCAAGGTCGCGTTTAAGGGTGCCTCAGCAAGATCGTAGTAGATCGACCACGCCTGATTCGGTATGGAAAACGATGGCTAGTCAGGACGGTCTCCAGGAAGCTATTCAATTATTGTCTTGCAAGCCAGGTAGCAAAACTTCAATCCCTCGCGACGGTTTGCAACATGATTTTATGAAGGAAATTTCGCGAAAAATTATCCTTTAATGCGAATCAAAAATTGTGACTTGTATAGCCGAGCCCTATCTCTACGAAATTTAAAATAATTATCTGAAGACAAATGCTCGATTTCAAACTGAATATTCAATATGTTTATAAAGCGACTTTTCTTTCCTTCGTAATTTTGTCTGATCTTTGTAAGATTAGAAGGACTTGACGAACTAAATATAAATTGTAGCTATCTCGTTTTTCGCGTTCTCGAATCTTACGATTCGAAGGTTATACGTTGTGCAGGAGTTCGGTCGTCCAATCAACTCTCGGCTTACACTAGTCAGCATATCCCGGGCGTCACTTTGACAACCTGCAATTTCGACTCGAATTACGATTCCGCTATTTGGTCGGGATCGCGTAGGATAGGATCACCTAGATGTTGGCCTCAGGATTCTAGTGACCATTCCGATCAATCTGGGCATCGTGATAGCGATCACAGTGTTCACAGCGAACATAGGGATTCGGGTAAGATTTCTCTCATTGTCGTTTACTGATGATGATACCGATGATGAAAGTGATTAATCTGATAAGAAATCGCGAAGGAATTGATACTGTTGTAATATTGCTGCAGAACAGAGCGGTGCCAGCGGCAGTCACGGTGATAGCAAGGACAGCATTCACTCTCATTGCGATCATAGAGAGATCGAAGCCGGTGAGTGCATTAACCATCGTGGTCGTAATATTTTATATCGTTAGAATGTTTCGAGAGTGGCGTTAAGGCTCGATTGAGCACGATGATTTCATATCGAACTTTTTTTTTTAAGGTATAGCTGATACATTGCCGTCTCGCAAGAGCAGCTCGTCGACCGATTCTTGCGTTTCGGTACACAGCCGATCAGGTTCTGAAAGCGCGGGTGGCGGGGTAAATAAATGAGTTCAGTTATTTTCTCACTCATGGAGAGAAAGAAAATTGAGAGTAAGTGAGTGAGTGAATGAGAGAGGGGGAGGGAGAGAAAGAGATAGAGAGAAAGAGAGAGAATACAATGTTAGTAAATCTAGATTTATTAAACTGGTATCTTCTAAGACACCTATCTTCTAAGACACCGATATATTATGATAAAAAAAAGTGTTCGTACACTGATATTTTTCACATCACAAACTTTGGATTTCGTAATCCAAAGTAAAGGTAAATTTTATATACAAGAAATATGAAAAAGAAGATTTAAATAAAATGGCTAACAATAAGACGCAATGCTACAAGATGATACACATAAGATGCATACAGTTGAAAAAAAAGAATGATAGCGTACGAATAACTTTGAAGTTCGTAGCAGACCATGAATTGGAGATTAAGGATTGAAATTCAACTAATTAGATTCTTTAATTTTAATCCGTTTCTTTCTGTTTGATAGAATATTAATCTTCAATTCGCAATCCTGTCTTCAATACATAGTCTTTACTATCATAGGCTTTACTTGCTACGGTTACATTCTTCTATTTACACTCTTTTGTTATGTTACACGGCGATATTATCATAGAAACTAGTCTGTCGCTTATTCTCTCGTTCTCCTTTCTTATACAGCATAAACGTCGTTGATTTTAGGAATGCACGAGATCACAATTATACTCGATGTGGAGCGGCGGCGATCTGTCCTTCATCAAGTTGCCGGAGAGCAACGAAGTACAAGATGAACATCCACCTACTTAAATATCTGATATTTTTGCTTTATATCCAAAATGTGTCCGAGAAAACTTAATCTTTGAATTACTGAATCATGAAATAACTCTTTCTAAGAAATATCTTTGAAGAAATTTCGCACATTGAGAAAATACAACAAACTCAATATATTTCTCTTGAAATTATTTTTGAAAAACATAAAATTCTTTTAGTTTACACTTTATTTATTCACAAGGAATCTGTTTTATACGTATTTTGTTGTATTTGGATTTTCTGCATTTCGCGATTCAAATGATTCAGTGATCCAAAATTAAACCATCGCCACGATTAAACTTGTTGACCCGTGAATTCACTTAATAGAGATGCGATCAATTTTATTTGTGATGTATACATGTTTGATATTTATGATATATGGCACGAGTTAGTACGTGCTTATTAAGTGTACAACTAAAGATAGAAAAATATATGTATAAAGAACGTTATATAGACTACCCACTTTGTAATACTTACGATCACATAACTGAGTTCACAGAAGAGCATTTAACATTAAAATTTATTGATTAATTTCTGCTATTTAAGTATATCAGATAGATTTTTTTAAGGGATAAAAATAAATTAAATAAATAAAATATATATATTTTTTAGACAACAGGAAAGTAAATTGATCAATTTAATTCAATTTAAATATTAAAAAAAAAAGTCATAAAAATATAAAAAAATGCACCATTATAAATTTGAGGCATTCTTTTTATTAAAAATCAATCATTTTAACTACTTTGGTAATTTTAATGTTAAAAGCGTTTATTATATTTAAAAAGTTTTATTAATTCAGTAAGTATTACGAAGTATAGTTCCGTCTGCGTTAAAAAAATGAACGTTCTGTATGTTGTTAAAACTCGTATATACAGATGTACGCATGACCCAATTGAGGAGTATCGTTTCACTCATTTACGAGGATTACTCTTCTCCATTCTCTCAATTCCACTTAACACCAAAGTGCACGTGCATGCGATCGTTATTTACACGCTCTGTTGGATAACGCGAACTTTGAGTGTCTTCATATGCGTCTCGTTAAACATCATTGGGTGCTTTCCATTTAATGACGCAAGTCGACACAAGTGTCACTATGTCCTTGTTACCCGAAATTCTGTTCTCAATCATCAAAAGGGAAATGTCTCTGTTAAGCTACTGATTCGGATAGCTAGTGATTTCTGAACGGATCCTTTACAATATTGGTTTAAATCTTTATTTTGAGATTATTCTCCACACGAGAATAATCTTTGACTCATCTGTGGTTTTATAAGAGGGACTGTTTCTATCCATATTATCGGCAGGTTAATTGTGTCATAATAAGTGTTATGGAATGTCTCTCGTCATTTTAAGATTTATACTTCAGAATTTCTGTTATCAAGAAACTAAAGGCTTGCAAGATAGTTGTCAAAAATAGAATTGGATTATAGGATTAATAATTCTGATTTTGGGACTTTTGATGGAGATTCGACAAAAGTAGCAACTGATCAGCGACAGAATTCTCGTCGAAAGTCGTGTAGTATAGATGATAGGAAGACTTCTGATTTACCATCTGTATTATACGACCTTCAACGAGGATTTTGTCGCTGACCTGTTCCAATTCAAATTGGATCCTTTAGAGGTCTCGGACATCGTTACGTGAAGTCACGGTTTTGACAGCAGGGCTCAGGAATTCTCTAGATTGCTGCGATCTAACTACGTGTAGCCTCCTCGAAGAGGATGTCACCAGATCTTCGGATTTGTTTCATTGCATGATGCTATAATGGATCAGAAAACCATAAAGAGATTTAAAAAAAGAATATATCTTTATTTTACTTATTAAAAAAAAGAAATATATCTTTATTTTACTCAAATGTTAAGAAAGATAGAATGATGTTTCTGTCGACTTGTATCACTAAATAGAAAGCCTTTACTGAATCAATCCTAAAACATATCACATTCCATTCGAAGAGATGTGTTCTACTTATCGCTATTGCATGTATATCAATTGTCCTAAAGATGCACAGTGTTACCGCTCGTAAATTTTCGAACACTTCATATATATCCCATACTACATAAATAGAATTCAGTATATCTCCGTATTACATAAATAAAAGTCAAATAAAATAGAGTCATTGATCTATTTTTATGATTTTTATTTCAAATGATTTTTAATTTATTTTCGGGGATTTTTACTCATCTCATTTTTCCTCTTATATACCTCTTTTACAATTATTAAGCTTTTACATATAAAATATTTTTAAATAAGATGACATTAAACTTCGTCATAGACTACGGTTCTATTTTATAATATCGCCAAAGTTATAACATCCGATATAACTACTGACGTTAAGCGCCATGTAAATGCTATTTTAGTATAGCGATAATAGCGATGAAGTTCGTTTTACTACGTCAATGTAATTACGTCGTCGTGAAATAGCGTTACACGGCGTCAGTAGTTATAATATCGAATGTTATAATTTCGACATAAATCAAGTAAACGTAATAACATACGGTAAGTGGAAATGCTTTAAAGTTTCTTTACAAGCATTGTTTTACAGAATGTCCGGAAATTTATTAGCGGTATTATAATTTGCGATGTTTCTAGAGGAATTTTGAGAAATTTTCTAATCGAGAGCGATTTGTTGTACAATTTTATGGCACGGACGCGATAATAAAGATTTTCATTATGCGAAGAACTTAGCCCGAGTACTTAATAAAAAAAATTATATATTATATAATATTGTTTTTTACAATATTATATATTATACGTCGCCGTGGTGTCATGTACAAATAAGACTCTCTCCAATAAAACTTGTGCCTGGTTCACGCTTAACACGCGTAGATTATTTAGATTATTATTATGTATATTCCCACGTTACAGTCGATAGTCGGCGACTTCGCGTACTAAATTATAAAATTTGTTAAAAACCTTAGGGACAACACTCTAAAATTAGGCTTACACTTAGTTTTGTCACAATTGCGATCGATTTTCCGGATTATTCAAAGTCATATTCGAGCGAATCGCTGTGTTCAAAGAATCAGATTATGAAGGAAACACCCATGTAAAGTAATTCTAAGTCGCAGATTCACTAACTTATTATTATGAAGTTTAGACGATTTCCCGAAAAGATACTCCAAATATCAAGATTGTAGTCTCACTTTTACACAGTAATAAAACGACTTCTTTACAAGAACAAATAATCTCGCGATCATAATTTTATCGGAATGTCTTTCACGCAAACACTTTTCCCCTTGTCGCATATATTTTGCACGAAAGAATGACGAGGGAAAGCGCTCATAGACGAACGCGATGGCTAATCCTCTACGCTCAACACATCTTCGTCTTCATCTTCGTCCTGACCGTAATCATCATACGCTGTTTGCGTGTCCTTCAGGTCATCTTCCTCCTCCTTATCCCCCTGCGAGCACAGCGTGCATCTCGATTCATTGATTCCGTAGTTGATGCACGTATCGCCTATACACTCGCAACAGCCATCGTGGAACCACCTGTAGCTCGTGGCGCCCATGCTCTGGCAGGATGCCCGACATTTGTTCCAGGAATTGCATTGCGCCATGAACGCGACCGTGCAGTTCACCGTCATCACGTTTGGCTTCAACGGATGCAGCTCCTCGTTCGCGGCCTCTATCAATCAAAATGTATCATTAACTCATGGCAACTATAATCAACATCATTAGCATCTCAATGAGCTTTAACCATCACAGAATCTTTAACGCGTCGCAATCGCTTAATCAAAACAAAAAGCCATAATACATCAAAATGGTTCCAAAATAATTATACTGTTCAATACCTAAATTCTCTCAGAAGTTTCATAGTACATATTCTGCAGATTTTTTTGTGCTGAATATGATGCCATCGTTAGAATTCGTATAGCGCACCGGGATTGAGAATCCTAACTTAAACGAAGAATTAATTATTTCTGGAACGCAGATAAAAAGAGTCACGAATCAGTCATGAACTACTACGACTGTATATTATATTATAGAAGGAAAAATAGAGGAAAGAAATATTAATAGAAGGAAACTATCGTGATTGCGGAATTTAAGAGAATAGTTTGAGATGAGTTCTAACTAACTCTTCAGAGCTGCAGTCAACAAGATTAGGATTGTCTTGATTATTGACTAATCTTCGATAGAAGAAGGAATAAGAAGAAAAAAAATCAGAGTTTTTTTAAATCAGGCTTTAATAAATTAAAATCAAAAATTACCTTACTATTACATTTATTAAAAATTTATTAAAAATATTGATAAAAATACGTGTTATTTTTTATGATCGTGTTTAGCACGAAAAAAATGTTGAAATATATATTGTAACACGTCAGAAAAAGTGATTTTTTTTTTTATTGAACTATATATATGTTTATAATTATACAGAAAGTCAAACAGCTTGATGAAAATAAGTTGTATAATCAACTAAAATTCATTTAAAAACTCTTGAATTATACTTTTTCGTATCGTGGAATTTATTTAGAAACAATTAAGATTTTGTTCTGCTATAAAAAAATGTTCTGTTACAAAAACATTTTTTTAGCTTATTTTATCTTAATTTATTCAAAATTCTACATGCTACGCAAAATTTTATGTGTTTAATACGTAAAAATCTTCGGGATATGTACTATAATACTTTGAAAAGAAAAAAGTGATGACTTTTTATCGAACAGTATTTTATTAAAAGTCATTTTTCAATCAATCATTGATTAATTTTTGTCATTTTCACATTATCGTGACTTTATTCTATTTGAGCGGCTCATCGATATATATATTTATTGTGTTATTTAATTTACGTTTACATATTCTGCGAAGAAGTTGTTTCTTTTCTACGTAACATTCATTCTGATGAATTATTTGCACGCGACACGCGTGATCGATTGATCAACCAATTCGTATGCGTCGACAGTTTCTAGTGATTCTCAGGTATGGAAATCGTGTACTTTCTCTCGGTGGTGTAATTTCGATACTTACGTATATGATATTTCATTTCGTTCTCGTGTTTCGGCGCGAACACCGTCATGTCAAAATCTACCGGATATGTGAAGGTGAGCCATCTCTCGTGTGGATCCGCCTCGGCTGTGAGTGCTTGAAAGAGCGCTGGCACTGGTTCGCTGAATTCCTCCACGTGAGATTTCCTGCTCAACGGATTGTCGGTGATATTCGGCTTCGGGCATAAATCTAAACACCCATAGAAATGTGTTATATCATTTATATATAAATGGTCGCATGAAAATTATCCTTAGAAAGTAGAATTAAACCGGATTAAGGCGATTTATAAATTAGATACCCATCTCCTCCGTTCCCTCTCACCCGTACAAAGCATTTCAATAAATTAAAAATCGTTAATAATATTTAATTATAAATTTTATTTTTTTACACAGTGGTTATTTCAAGAGTAACATCGACATGTTTTATAGAATATGCTTGAAATAGTGATCAGAAAAGAAATAATTTATTTTAGTTCACATAAGAATGCAATTTATAACTATTTTCGATGTACATTACAGGCAAAGCGATTAGATCACGTATGACATTTACCAATATTTATGAAATGTTGATTATTAGTACACTAGTCAATTAGGAATATCTAAATCGTTTTATATTCTTAGTTTTATATACATCTATTTTTTATGTGAGCCGCATTTTAATTCATAATTAAATGACATTCAAAGCCTATCTAAATTGAATCTTTCTCCAATCACTCATTCTAATCTCAGAATGATTATCAGAATCTTTATATAAGAATCTATAAAATGTTTTGTTTAAACCTTAGTTTAAAAAGATTATTGTATTAAATCAATTTTATCGATTACTAAAATTAATTTAATTAAATCAAAATCAATTTGTTATTAAATAAAAGGAAATTTTGTTTAAAATTAATGCAACGATAGCTATAGTCCAAATCTATTCGTTTTTCAATTTTCTCTCAGTTCAACCGTTTGTGCATAAATAAAATGCTCGTTTATGCATTGTATATTGTAATTGTTATAGTTAACATTTAATAACTTTTAATAAATTACTACCTTAGGATAGATTGAATTTCTAATAACTAGTAATTCAATACATTTAGTAATTGAAAGATAGTATTGAGAAAGATTTGATTATCCTCGGTATTATCTTACCTACGCACGAACAGCATTCGTCGTACAAATAGCTCAAGCACGAGAAGCAGTCTTTGCAACAAGTGCAGGTGACCAGGTCACATTTACAGCTTTGCGTCAGCATGCACTTGCTCACGACACTGGCGCAGATCGCCTCGTTGCACGCTTCCGAGCGTTTTGTCGCGGTCGTCAACAACAGAATCCCGACGGCGGCCGCGACAAACAATGCACTCCAACTCGTCATCCTGTTTGGGATAGTTTCTATTAGATTCTCTTACTTGACTTGTACTGCGATACAAAATGTCCCACACACTCCGTGAATATTATTACAAGCTTATATACTTCAAAGAAAGATGAGAGGGCAAAGATCCTTCGAAATTAGATATACAAACATAATAAAATATGTACAAACACATAAATAAATAAACTTTTGGAATCTTCCAATTTAAAGAAATGTTTTAAAATTGTACTGAATACTAATGTTATAAGAGATTTGAATTAGTACATTAACAAATAGCAGTTTGTTGAGATATATAAAACATCACAGTTTAAAATCTTTGCATTGAATAAATCATTAATAAATTGAATAGTTTTATATATATATCATACATTGGTAAATAAAAAAAAAAATATAGAAATTCTACAGTTAAATGAAGTACGAAGGAATTTAATGCAAGTTATAAATAAAATAAAAACTATACTAAAATACAATATTTCGAATTTTCTATATAATTAAAAGAAAGATTATAAGAAGAAGAAATCATTAAAGAGATCGGCATTTTTTAATAGAGAAAACTAAAAAAGAATAGAACAAGAGATTTTAGATTTCAATTTATCATTAATTGTAAATAATAAATTGTAAATAATAAGAATGAATATTATTTAAATTTTTTCTTCTTATAATCAACTTATACATCTTATCAGAATAACATATTTAGGGCTAGTTATTCCATCTTCAAACAATGTGGTAATTTATCTACTGAATAAACGATAAAGAGTAAACGAATAAAGAGATAAGAGAATAAGAGAGTAAGACAGTGAGCGGAAGTTTACCAAAAGGTGAAACAACTTAACCTTAATATATTATTTTGTTTTAATCTATACGACGGAATAGTTTTCTAAGATATAGAAAATGAGAGATAAGAACATCGAATAGCAATATGTTAATAATATCTTGTGTAATCGTTGCAGAATGTCTAAAATACAATCTTTTTCACATAGGAAATTTTCCTTTAAGACTTTATAGAAATCGCAGAGACGTAATGGTACTAAAAGCTAAACCACACAGACCTACTTGATCGTGTTACCGGTGAAAAATTATACGGCCGCGTTCAACGCAGTCCACGTGATTTTTGTATGCACTTTTTTCTACTCATGCGTAGATTATTGTTTGTCTGCTCTTAGATGCTGGACAGTGTATGATTATAACGTTTCCCTACTCGCATCACTCCCGAAGTGACGTTACGGAGACGAGAAGAATGATTATGCCGACGAGGCCCGATTAAGATTATTAAGAATATTCACGAACGTGAGTCAGGGTGTCATTAAGCGAGAATGCGTGCTAAAAAGAATGAAATTTCAGTCTCTTCTCCTGGCAAGCGCTGCTCTAACGTGCTAACCCGAACAATCAGCGTAATGCTGCTCCTATCCGTTTCAGGGATAACACCGCGCGAGGTCACTGTTTAAACTCGTTTAAGCCTTTGCAAATTCGGAATCTCTTTACTAATACGACTGGAAGTGATTTCGTTTCCTGCGAAGGAATTGTCGCGGATATTCCGGGGCTCATTTGCTACGGCGAGGCACAAAAATGGATTTTCTTTAAAACGCAAATTTTCTTATAAACGCAAATACCTATAGAAAAGATTTTTGAATCGAATATCATTACTTCAATCTATCATAAAATATGATTGATATATGGACAATCATTGTTAACAGAAGAATATTTTTCTCTTAAACAAAAATTCTTAAATCTAGAATAAAATGATTTTGAACATTGGTGTCGTGCCAAATTCTCCAGCATGCACGACTTCTAGGAAAGATTTATTCTAAACGTAAAAATATATGTATAAATTTAAATTTGTAATATTATGTTATCTTTGTTTCAAGAATATATAATAATTTACTTTTATTTTAAGTCAATCTTATATTTAATTCAAGAAAGTAGAATAAGAATTATTGATTTAATCTTAATATCGTTTTATTTTATACTCCATAAAAAATATTTTTTGTCTTGTTATTAAAAATCCTTTCTGAGAAGATACAGACAGAGAAAGTTACATTCTCGGGAGATACGTCTTATATATAGAAATTATTTTTTATTACTTGAAACTCTTACTGAGATTTCTAATAGCGAATTTTTTCTTAAAAAAACATGATAATAAATACATAAATTTAGAGATAGACAGGAATTAAAAAGCAATTACTCCTCAAAATGTTTAAGATTCCCGTTTGTTTATTCACTGTTACTATGTCACAATCAATAGATTGAAATGAAGCGAGAAAATCCACAATTAAAATTCTTGAAAAATGTATTAATATTGAAATATGTTTTAACAAAATAATACTTACAATCTACTATCGATAGAGACTGTCAATATTTACTACCAGTCTATAGTTTACGTCACGTGTACTATAGATTTTCAATACTAGCAGTAAATTTTGAAACACAGCCAGAATCGACTTGTAAAATATAGTAGAAACTCTTCTTTTGTTTTATTAATTATTCTTTTGTTTCATTAATAAATAATCATACATAAATCTGGAAATTAGGATTGTGGCACACAAAAAAAATTAATTTCACCAAATTAATTGAAATCAAGGACTTTTAATATCAAATAATAATAAATAATAGAAAGGACATATAAGAATCAGTTACAAAAATCATAAAAAAAATATAAATTAAAATATAAAATGCACTGTAATTAAATTTGAACAATATAATTTTTAATATTACATATTTTGACTATAACATTGAAACATCTTCAGATATTAAAATAAACGTAGAAATATTGTAAAATGAGGAACATAGTGATAGAAGAAGTTAAATAAATTGTACGTGAAGATTATGTCAGATATGAGGCCTGCTGGGCTGCGTTCAGAATCGTTGTCCGGATGCGCCCAAATATCATTTTATCTTTATTGTTCAACAAGAATGTTAAACAAGAATAAAAAAACATCTGGGTGCATCTAAATGATAATTCTGAACGCAGCCTTATAAGGAAACAGAAATTGCTTGCAAACGATTGCATGATCGATTATTGATAATTTCTCGATAATCTGATGCAAATCAAAAAGTTCGAATTGTTTTTTTATCTTATTTGGAAAAAAATAAAAAAATCAAAAATATATATAAATTGTAAAAAATATAAATTTGTTATAATAGCTTATAAAGCTTATAATAGCAAATAAACTGTCACTCTGATAAAAAAAAACTCACCGACGAAGCCATATAGTTATATTTTGCAACATGTTGAGAAAAATGCTTGTCAGAATAGTTGTAATAGATAGTGTGAATATATATGTAATAGATGTAATAGTATTGTTCGTTTTGTCTCTCAGGAGCTGCTCGGGAATGAACCCAGCGTACTTGAAATATCCTGACATTTCAAGCACGCTGAGTTCGTTCCTGAAACGATTCTGAGCAGCTCCTGAGAGACAAAATGAACAAGGCAAATGTTAGAAACAGAGTCATCAAAAAATAAAAATTAAAAAAGAGATAGGCAATACAAGAAATAGTAATATAGAGAAATAAAATAGAGAAATAAAAACGAAACCAAAAACGAAATGAACTATGTTTACAGTTATGACAAATTGTCAAATAATAAGGATTAGAGTAAACTTATAAAATATATTGAAAATTATTTTCCCCTTTTAGAAAAAAATTGTATCATATTTATTTCTATTCTAAAAATAAATATGATTTAATTTCTTCCTAAAACGAGAAAATAACTGTTAGTACGTTTTATAAGTCTATTCTATCGATTGCAAATGTTATTTTTCATTGAAAATTATTTCTATTTAAATATAATTTGCAAGAATTTTTATTCTACAATTTGAAAGCAGTGGTGAATAAATAAGAGTCATAAGATTATCGAGTGAATATCGCACAATCACATTCTTCATTTATAAAATTTAATTATGAAAATCTCTTTATAAAAATCGATAAATATACGCGCAAATTATTTTTACATTGCATTTTTGCATTGCATACTTGGCCAGATAGCGAGGAAGATAAAGAAACGACGAGTTAATCGAATGCAAAACGATCGTTCGTACAATAATTGCACATTTCAAATGCGCCATTAAGAATCTATTTATATTATGCATAATCGTGTCCTACGATATCTCAGGTGAATTATTATTGGAAAAGAATTCCACTACACAACGACCTGTTACACGCGGTGATTGAAACGACACGACCTACTCGATGTCGTACATATCGCTGCTGGCGACTTTCATGCTCGCTTTCCATGTTCTTATATCTTCTATTTATTAATACGCTATTAAAAGTTATTAAGAATTAATATCAGGATTTAGAAAGAAAGGAGATAGTAAATATTCATATTCGTATATGTCGTATATGTCGTTCATGACATTATTAAAAATTTGTTTAAAAAATTATAACACAATCTCAATCTTATTCTATCAAGCAAAGTTTGATCATAGACACACCTTAGAGACATACAAATATATTTGCATGTAATTTCTTTGTTTTCTTTATATAGATATTTGAAGCACAAAAATACTTTTTACAATTTTGTATCTGTATCTTAAGTTACACATCTTCACATTTGCGTTTCACATTTTGTAGTCTATGCGTAAAAATGTTTTATTTATTAACCAACTTTTTAAAAAACTTTAAAAAACTTTATTTCTGACACTTTATTTTTTAACAAATTTATTTTTATTTTATTTGTATTTTTAAATTTTATGTTTATACACATCTTTTTGTAGCATATTTTATTATTTATTCGTACACTTTGAATCACTTTTCAATTTATTACGTTTTACTGTCCGCTCGTTATTTCGCCGAACACTATCGAATGACAGGACCCACCACAGCAGATTCCTGTGGCAGACTAATCACGAAGATTTTGAGGGACAGAGGGACTGTAGTTTTAAGGTAGGAAATCCCCACTCTAATCTCAAGACGGTCCTAGGTCATTCGTAAATGAAGGCGCACCCACCACTGTGGAACGCCATTTACGATGGCTTCCAAGTAATTATATCTGTTATGCTTTTTTTA